CTCTCTCTCTCTCTCTCTCTCTCTCTCTCTCTCTCTTTCGCGCACGCAATTATACATCGATAATACAGCCGTCAATCTCCGCAATTTAAACCCAAGGCAAATTATTAATCTCTCCTTTTACCAGTGTATTTGATAATAGAGCTCAGAGATGAAAAATCGAGGGAAAAAATTACATTCCTGTAATGTTAAACACTACTAAAAAATCAATCATCAATTAAATCTAACGGTCTTCGTGATAAAAACACCTCTCATTCGAGGCGTCGTGATAAGAAAAAACATCGCGCACTGCTTTAAAATCTCACCGTGGAGAACTTGACGTTCAGGAAGTCGTAGTATTTCACCAGGAACTTCATTGTGTAGCTTCAACGGTCGAAACTTGATGAACGTAATGATGTCGTAGTGATTGCCGTCTTCGAGCAAGTTTCGCGAATGTATAAATAATGTTGCAAATGGTTAAATACGACAACAGGCGCATGTAAGACAACAGATTGCACTAAATCGTCGAGAAAGATATAAAAATGTTGCTCTTTCGATAAACTTACACGCGAGACGCGTAATGTTATCAGCACGACGCTGCAATATCACGCCGGTTATTTCCGTTCTGACGAGCCGTAAATTCCACACTGAGAGAAAAAACAAATTGTTGTGACTACTATTTTTGTGCAACATTGGCAATTATAGTATCTGCAATTAATTTTATAGAGTGATAGTTACTAGTCTAGTACTCAACACTTCACTGTAAAAATACAGTTATTGCAACAATATTTGTATACTATTAATTCATAGTGAAATAACACCTCAACTATATTAAATAGTTACTTGGACTTCCTAAAAATGAGACATAACAATTATATTTTCCTAGTTTAAACAAACACTTTTTATAAATAGAGCACGTTATATCAATAATTAATTGCTAAGGACTTTAATAAATACAATACATTTAAAACCTTTTCACTAAAGTCGCTCAGTGTCATAAGCAGTACGCGGCATTGTCACCAGAGGAATACAGCAGAGTTCAATTTCTCCTAAGAAGAAAACCATTCATTGCAGCATAAAAGGCGCAGCATTGGGTTCGAACTTCGAAAACAAAACTAAATGAGAGACGCATCTCGACAATACAATACTTCGAAAACAAAAAGTAAATGAGAGATGCTGCTCGGCAATAAAATTTCTGTACTAAAATTCAATAACCTTAAAGCTCTTATAAGTTATCTGTACATATAAACATTTGTAACTGTTCGGATTATAAAGTTTTAATAAGAACAATAAATAAATTAGATGACCTAAGAAAATATATTAATTATTTGTAGTTCGTTAATATTACTATATTTTCGCAATTCATGTAACTTATCCAATGTTCTTTTTAGAATCTTGTAAGATATAGTTGAGATTTATAATTACCGATACGACTTTTATCTCTGAGTGTAACGATGGATTAATTAGTAATCGTACTTCGCCAGAAAAAAAACGCACAGATCTGCAATCTTTCAATCAAGAGAACGAAAGTTCTCTTATTTCACGAGAGAAAGAAGCACGATTCATCACGTGCTAATTACATCGGTGATTTGAGATCAAGTATTCTAACGAGTGTTCTAAGCTGGCCTCAATAAATCTTCTACTAATTTTTCGTTGTTTTTTTGGAAACAGGAGTCGATACGGCTCAATTAGAGGATTTAGATATGATCCGCTTAATGCTGCAAATGCTTTGACGATTAATCAGAAGAAAGAATTTTACGAGTTGACCAATCAAAGTATGCTTAGAGGAGAAATATCAAGTACAACTCGAGGTGGAAAAAAAAAAGCACGTAGCGTTATGCAACTGGTCGCGTTACGGTATAATTGACTCGAGGTGCATTTACGCACCTCGGCCAATGCGAGAGAGAGAGACTAACGATGTGGCGCGTGCACACGCGTGGAAAATAATTCATACGCATGTTATTCACTGTATGCCCGTTTCAAACCGCCGCTTTCTAATACACCGTGAAATACATTGCTCGCGACCGCATCGTGAAAATGCGCAGCGCATATGTTTCGCGGCGAGATATTGCGTGAGATTTTCACGATTTTCACTTATCCAATTTTTCACTGGAAAGCAGCACGCGAAGAATCGTGAACGTACTGCGACATAATCCATTTCATACACTTCATGGTTTTTAATCACACAAATATATTGTCACTTACACGAATTGTTATTACACGTCGGTTGGCATGTTTTTATTTATGCCGCTATAATATCAAATAAATTGG